CGACTGACCGCAATAGTCATCCAAAATAGTAGTAGTACAAAGAAATATAGGTGCTTCCAGTTTTTCAGAACACAGTTAAGTTTGGATAGAGTTTAGCCGGGAAAAGAAGCCTATTGAATGTTAGCTTAACACCTGAGATAAAAATAAAATCATATATATTGTGAAGCAGCGTGGTGAAATCATGCGTTGGTCAAAGTACAGAAAACGGAGAAACAGGCATTTTTCAGCCAGTTTAGACAATTTTTATTGAATTTTTATTTTTTGGCTCAACCTCTTTTACTCTCATGTCCATTTAAAAATAATTTTTGATGGGATTTTACTGAAAAACACAGATTAAAAGCACAAATATGTCATTTTTATGTTTTCAAGGATTCTTTAGTCACTGGGGTTAACAAACTTTGGAGGCCATTTTCTCGCTGACTTCACCATTGAAACCAGGTGACCCCACTTCCTTCAATCGCAGATATCTTGAGTTCTATTCACGATAGATGAATATTCATTTCATATGAAGTAAGGAAAATAAATCAGCTTTCAGATGATACCAATGACTCTACATGCCCAAAAATTGACGAGCGCCTGATTCCAACGCGTCGTGACATTATATCGATTCGATTGTTACAACTAAGCATGAACTACGAGTAAAACTAAAATATTATAACCGATACTGAGAGTGTAACGACCGAAAGCACTTATTATTCCAGATATTAGTAAGACAAAGAAATAAAGATGCTTCCACCTTTTGGGAAAAGAATTGGGTTTGAATGGAGGTTACCCCGGTAAAGAAGTCTATAAAATGCCAACACCAGAGATAAATACAATAATGTGTTGGTTGTTACAAGTAGGCTTGGACAAAAAGTAATCAATTACAAGGAATAAAAAGAGTGTAACGACGTACTGCACAAGTTACTCAAAAATTTAGTAAGTCATGGTATGAAATGGTATAGGTTTAACGCCCCTATCAACACTATTAGGTTATTTAAGGGGCGGGACCTCATAGTTTAACGTCCATCTCCGATAGGACCGAGCCAAATGGGAAGTTCGTGTAAAGTGCCTTCCCAGGGACACAACGTCGGACCGAGCTGAGGCTCGAACCCACGAACTCGCAATCTCACGATTACGAGTCCGGTAGCCTAAGTAGTAAGTCAAAGAAATAAAGATTCTTTCACCTTCCAGAACATATTATCTAGGTTTGGATAGAGTTCAGTCGTGCAAAAAAGCTTATAAAATGCTAGCACATGTGGTAAAACACAATAATGTGTTGGTTGTTGGACTACAACCAGGCATGCACAAAAACTAATAGATTATAACCAATACTGAGAATGCAACGATCGACCGCACCAGTAATTCAAAATAGTAGGAGGACAAAGAAATAAAAGTGCTTCCAGGTTTTGAGAAAATCTTTTGGTTTGGATGGAGCTTACCCGTGCAACGAAGCGTATAAAATGCCATTACCTATAGTATGGTAAAACACAACAATGTGTTGGTTGTTACAACTAGGCATGGACAAAACGTAATAGATTAATAAGAAATATTAACAGTGTAAGAAAGTTACTGAGGATCAGATGGACAGAAAGGGGCACCAACGGTAAAGTGTTGGGGAAGACAAGACAGATCCCAGTCAAAGATGAAGTAGGAAGAAGGCAGTGGCGATGGATTGGACATACTCTCAAGAAGCCAGGCTGGATTGGAATCCACAGGGTAAAAGATCAAAAGGAAGACGGCGTGGAACCTGGAGAAGAGCCACAGAAGTTTTTGTAAGCCTACATGGAAGTGGGAAGACATGGAATAACATCAAGAAGCTAGCCAAGGATAGAGAAAGCTG